ATGGATGGCGAATAGATTGATATTGTTGACAGCTTTAGTTTGCTTGGCTCCACAATCAACATTCTTGGTACTAGCAGCCAGGAAATCAAGAGACAAATTGCATTGAGAAAGTCAACTGTCAGGGACCTCTCCAGAGTATTGAAGAATAATGATGTCAGGTTGGAGACTAAGGTGCACCTGATCCAGGCCATAGTTTTCACAATTGAGTGCTATGCATCAGAGGAGCTGGACAATGATTACAGATGATGGAAAAATTGATGCCTTTGCGCTGTGGTGCTGGAGAAGAATGTTGAACATACCATGGGCTGCTAGGAGAACAAACAGGTTTGTCCTGGAGAAGGTGAAGCTGGGCTGTTCCTTGGATGCAAGGATTCTGAAGCTTCATCTGACATACTTTGGGCATGTTGCAAAGAGAGATCAGTCCTTGGAGAGGGACATCATGTTTGGGAGGATGGAGGGACAGCACAAGAGATGAAGACCCTCAATGAGATGGGTCGATTCAGTGATTGGGGTAACGGGAGTAGGTGTATCAGAGACAGTGAGGTTGGCACAGGATAGAGCAGGGTTTAGGGCTCTTTTTTATATAGTTCATTAAAAATTTATTTTTTTAGTTTATAAATGGGTCACTTCCAAAAATAGTAGTGATACAGATTATCTGGCAATATTTTAATATTTCTTTCTACTCCATACACCAAATGTGCACTTTATACAAACAAATATAGTGGCTTAAAGCACCAACACTCTTAACTCCAATACGTCTAGGAAGTTTCATTATATATTTTAAGCATATAATAAAGCAAAAATAATTAAATTCCTTGAACACTTTATTTCCACTCAGAGTTCAGCAACTACTTAGCTTTTGAGGTTGTTAGTGGCTGACAGACCACAACTTAACTCTCCTTCTTGGTAGTTGCCATTGTATGAAGAAAGCCACATCATCCAAAGTCATAATACCTTCCTAGAGTAGCATGAATCTAAACAATATTACTTGTGCTGTGGTTCAGACTATCTCCTGGACTAATTACCATTATCTAAATACTATGAATTCATAGTATATGCCATCTTTGACTGTTCTGTTTGGTGGTCTAATCTTAAATACTTAGTTATCGTTGTTGTGTATCAAGTCAGAACCGACCCATAGCTGACCCTCAGCAGGTTTTCAGAAGACAGTAAATCTCACAGGAAGAGATTGTCTATCCTTCTCCCATGGAGCAGGTCAAGGACTCAAACCATGTGCCTTTGAGATTGTGATGCAGTTTTTTGACTAGTGAGGTCACCAGAGTTCCTTAGAATGAGTTTTATTTTCTTCTTGAATACCTTATCCACTTTGAGTAAACAGATTATTACTGAAGCTCTTTGTCTCTTCAAGTCTCTTTCTCTTCATGGAATTCAAGGAATAAATAATCCCTAATGTCCAGACCAAACAAAAAAAAAACCCAAAACATTAAGTATTCCATTAAGTCATTAAGTTGGAACAAATTTCAAACTTTCGCTTACTTGTATCACCTGAATTTAATAATCCAATAAATGACAAAAAAGACAAAAAATGAAAAGAACATCATATAGCACAGCAGCTTGGTTTGGCTCCCTCTGGATAAAATCTTCAGTCTCCCCATTGTTTTACCTAGAAATCCAGTCGTAGAATCAAATTGTGAGTCCATTTCAGCTAATAATTTATTTTTATGTTTCAGTTCATGGCCTATTCCTCAAGGCCCTCAGATCTGTCGGTTTAGGGCTCTTGTACATAGGGTCGCAATGAGTTGCAAGCAACTCAATAGCATATAAACAACAACAATCACTTGGGAGGAATTTGCCCATCCTTCTCCCACCGAGCAGCTGGTGGATTCAAATTGCATGCCTTTGGAATTACAGCACAGCTTTTTGCTACTAGGACACCAGTGCTCAGTTTAGAAGGAGTTTTAGGATATCTTTTCTAAAAAAACAGATTTGACTTCTACAAAGAAGCTGTAATATTAGCGCATTAGTTAGGGAATTCTGGTGACCAACTGGCAAGAATCTGTGCTACAATCTGAAAGGCACACAGTTTGAATCCACCAGCTGCCCCACCAGCTGTGGTTGATGGTTCTGATTTTATTGTCTGTCTTTGCTTTAAAACTTCTGTTTGGTGTCAGAAGAATGTTGTTGTGCCATCGAGTCAGAACCAGTACAGAGGTGACCCTCCTGTTAGTTTTCAGAGGCTGTAAATCACCTGAGAGGAGATTGCCCATCTTTCTCTTAAGGAGTTGTGGGTGGATTCGAACTGCCAGAGAGGTGGGGACTTTGGTGCAACTCTCTACAGAATAGGCCATCAGAATGACCTATGTACACTAGAATCATAATTCATCAACTTTGAGCAGTGCTTCTCCCTGGCTGTATAGGCAACTAAAGAATCACATGGGAAGCTTGTCCCAATGGAGATTCCTTGGGCCCAACCCCAGACCTATTAAACAAGAGTATGGGTGAAGGTGGTACTCTAAAATGTACAGTTTCATACCATTCAGGAGGGAGTCTGTGTCCACTTAAGTTTGAGAGCCCATGTTTGAGCCACTAAAGAAACTCATTTCACAATGTGTATGAAGGATAGTGTGAAACACAATGTATACAAACTTTGTAAGCAAACCAATATAAAAGTATTTTTAAAAAAAGAGGAGGCTGATTTGTTAAGCTGGATTGACTTACAAGTTCCTGTGTGTTTAGAAGGACTTTATGCCAAACTAAAGGCTGGTGGGTTTTAGAGCACAATTTAATGTGAATATTTAATGATTCACAACCCTAACTAGACAGTGGGGTCATCTAAGAAGATTTTTACCTATGACAATTAAAAACCAGAATTTCTGAAACAGGAGAGAGAGAGAGTGAGTGTGTGTGTGTGTGTGTGTGTGTGTGTGTGTGAGAGAGAGAGAGAGAGAGAGAGAGAGAGTTAGTTGGGCAGACAGACGACAGAGAGGGCCCTGTCAGGCTGGCACTCAGCACAATAGAAGAGAACCTGAATAAGATCAATGGCTTATTAGGTCTGTGATAAAAGGGGATAATAGCCATTGACACACAGGGTTATTTTAAAGATTAAATGAGATGATTCTTGTAAGTCACCTAGAACCAGTGATGGTATTCATACTATCTAACAACTGCATTGTATGGCCAAAGCTAGGTTTACGGGTTTATGAGCTTTCTGGCTATGCAGGCATCAGGACCCTGTGCATAGAAGTGCCCCACACTCCAGCATTCTGTGGTGAAATATCAGAATTCTCACTATAATTTCCTAATAAGGGCTCTCATTGCCCCCGTGTAGGATTCAATGCCAGCCCCCACAGCTGACCCTCCAGAGAGTGTTCAAAGACTGTAAATTGCATAAAAAGAGATTACCCATCTTTCTCTTACAGAGCCACTGATGGATTTGAACCACCAAAGAGGTGCTACCCTTGGGTTAGAGGTGTATATATACACACACACCCCATATCATTTAAAAGCTTAGGTAAATTGAAAATCTGGTATGCTTTCAAATTTTGTCAATGGGAGTTTTTATTTCAGAAACAATTTTTTTTATTAATTTAGGTTGTTTATTTTTCATTTCAATGAACATCTACAGAGATTTTGGGATTCCATTCATTGTTGCACCCTTCTCCCCACACAAACCCCTCCAGAAACAATTTTTAAGAAAATGGCATCTTTATTACATGAAATGCTCAGTAAAATTTAGAGTTTTAGAACAGTAAAATTTAGAATCCATGGATGTAAAATCTGTCATTGTTATGTGTAAGACAAGTGTTGCAATTAAGAGGGAGGGGAAAGTCAAAAGGTGCTATTTTTTAAAATAAGTAAAGAATTATAAAGTAAAAGGGGAGCTCTGGTGGCCTAGTGGCAAGAAGCTGCACTGCAACCCCAGAGGCGCACAGTTCAAATCCACCAGATGCTCTGCCGGGGAAGGAGGGACAATCCCCTCCTGTACCAGTCAGATCTGATTTGATGGTACACTCAAATAATAAAAAATTGATAATAAAAAAAAAGAATTATAAAGTAAGAAATAAAATACATAAAGCTTTTATTTCAGCAAAACTTATGCTCATGTTTTTAATGTAGCATGATTAATGATTAAAGGAGCACTGTTCACAAAATGGTTTAAACCCTCAGTTGACAACCAAAAGAACATCAGTTCAAGCCCACCAGTGGTTCCATGGGAGTAAGGACGAGACAGTCTGCTCCTAAGAGTCACCCTGGGGACCACTTACAGAGAAATTTTACTCTGTAACCTAGAGGTGTAACCTAGAGTTAGAACAGAGTGGAGGACACACAACAACAATAACAATATTTGTTATTTACAGGGTGAGCTGTTTCGTACTCTTGCATCTTATAAACTAATTGCCCCAAGATACAGGTGGCAAAGAAGCAGATGGGGACGTATATGTCCGGTGGCTCTAAAAGAAGGAAATGTTTTCCCAGGATCATCAGATTTATCTGTGAGGTAAATAAAGTTTCAGAACTTAACTTTGAAAACTTGCTTGTACATCTTGTCAATTGCTTACAATTATGGTACATTTCAAGTTTTCTAGGTAAAATGTACTGCCTTTCATCAGAAGCAGCATTAAAAACATTTTTATTGAACCCACGTCCCTATCTTCTTCCACCTATGCCAATACCACCATGCAAAGTCTTCGTATTTGGACCTCAGTATTCAGGAAAGACAACACTTTGCAATTTGATTGCAGAAAAGTATAAAGGACAGGTAATTATTTGTGGACCTACCTACCTATTCTGATTACAGTTTGTAAGATTTTTATTTATACGTTGCTGTTGTTCTTATGTACCTTTAAGTCAGAACTGACTCATAGCTGACCCTCCAGTGGGTTTTGAGAGGCAGCAAATCACAGGGGAAGAGATTGTGGTCTTTCTTCCATGGAGCATCTGCTGACTTTTACACTCTCCACTGGATAATTGTGTCATGTGATTTGGCCACCTCAGTAAGGTTTTCTGAGCCAGGGATTATGGGTGATTTTTCTTCTGGGTTTCTCATGAGGTGATCTTCAAGATGATGTTGGGGCTACTGTCATCTGACAGCTTGATTGTGAGGCTCAATCACATGAATGAGTCCTCACTACCTTTCCACACAGATCTGTGTATAGAGCTACTTGTGTGTCTTCATGACCTCACAGCTGGATTCCCCAGAGGAAGAAAGGAAGCCACAGTGACATTTGAGACTCTGCCTCAGAAGTCACACACTGTCACTTGTACCAATGTCTATTCATTTGAAGCAAGAATTGAGTCCTGCCCATGTTCAGAAGCACAGGATTTAGGCTTCAACTTTTAAAAGGAGGAGTATTGGGCAATTTACTGCCTCTGAAAACCTGTTGGAAAGTTAACTATGAGTTGGTTTTGACTGGATGATACATAGCAACAAGAACCTTCAAGGGAGACTAGGAAAAATAGTCATAGTAATTCTAATGAGGCATGGATCATCAAACATTGAGGGATTCTACTGTTGTTAGTTATCATTGAGTTGATTTGAACTCATAGCCATCTTATGTATAACAGAATAAAATTTTGCTCCACTGTAAAAAAAAAAAGGGAGGAAGAAGAGTATCAAAGAATTTTATATTTGAAAAGCACTATGGATCAAATAAAAGAGTAATAATTTTAAAATACAAAGCATTTTTACAGCTCTATACATAGAGCACGGGGGGGGGATGGTAAATAAGTAAGTAATAGGCACACAAAAATAGAAGCAGATAGCTACTAAACATGAGAAAGGGGCTAGCACCTCTCTAATGACCACAAAAAAAATTATTATTTTTAATGATAAGTAATACCATGTCAATCTCATTGTGAAAATTTGATACAGCATTTTCCAGGATAAGGAAAGGGACAATCTCATACACTGCTGGTGATGGCCAGTACTGGCAAATGAAAGTATATAGAAAATATTAAAAACAATACATATACTTTGGTATATTCTAATTATCTAAAATAAGTAAAGCTATTATAGGATTTTCCCTAAAGAATTTATTGGACAAATACAGCCACCCACACACAATTATATTTATTATAGCCTACCTTTTAATAGCAAAACTATATACTTACATAAATATTAAGTGAATCCTGTGAGAGCTAGAACTTGTGAGGTCTTCTGAATCTTACAGGTTTTTTCCCCTTGACAGGGTGCAGTCATCATTTTTCTAGTTTTCTCTGTTAGTGGAAAATATTTGTATTTGTATTTTCCTTCTCTTTACAGACTACCTTATGTAGGTCCTGACAATTGCAGGTTTTACTGTTATTAGTCTTTTATTTAAATAGGTTGTAATACATTCATTCAGTGCAATACTAAACATTGATTAAAATAATCTAGCTGCGTATTGACATTGAATAAAGTAACATATAAATATATGGGGGAACGCAAAATAGAATCCAGGTATATGAAAATATTTAAACTTAGAAAGCATATAGAAATCTATTTCTAAATTTTAATGTTCAATATTAAAGCATGTATTATATGCCTGACAAAAACTTGTATTCAGAATTCAATAAGTGACTTCATTTTTAAAATAGCAAAAATGTTGTACACGTATTTCAAAACATAAGATATATGAATCACCAATCATGAATGTGTGTGCATATTCAACATAATCAATATTCATAGTAATTTGTGTTTATGTTGATTTTTCTCATGCAATCTTTGCAGGTTGTTGACTATGCCAAACTTGTTCAACCACGTTTTAAAGAATCCCTTGAAAAATTAATTGACAATACAATAGCTGAAGCCACTAAAACGGCTATTAAAACTGTACAAGAGAAGCTTCTCACAGATCTAGAAAATAGGAAACAAGGTGAACTATCTTTGAAAAATTCTAAATAACTTAATTCAGGTATGTTTGGGGTATAGGTAAACAATTAAGCCCAGTGATGTAAGGACAAAAGATATGGGGTTGGAACCCACTAGAAGCTCCATCGGGGAAAGATGGGCAGTCTCCTCCTATGCAGTTTACTACCTCTGAAACCCCCTGGACGGTCAGCTGGGAGATGGTTTTGAATGGACAGTATACACAACTTGAAGGCAGGGACTTGGTTTTGCATTTCATGGTGGCCCTTGCATTTTGCACATTGTAGCCTCTGACTAAATGACAGAAGGTGTGAATATGGTTAAAATAAGAAAAAAGAGATTGCAGTCTGTAATGAAGAGAATCAAAGTGTGTACAAATTTGGATTTCTTTGCCTATGTGGATTTGCTTGCACTCAACGACGATGGAGCCATATTTACACCTCCATCAGTCACTAAACCTTCAGCACCTACCCGATACTTGTGGAGGGGTTTTGCTGTTTTGAGGCTTGTATGTCATCCTTGACTGCAATTTGTTTTTCTCTCTGGAGAATATAAATTTCAACTTTAGAAAGTCATAAATCAGCTGAACAGGAAGAAATCTTAGTGATGAGTTGACACAATGCCCTATTTTATTGAGGAGGAACCTTAGGACCCTGGAAGTTAAAAAAGAAACTACTGTCCTGTTGGATCCTCCTCAGGGTGACCTTGCAGAACAGAGTAGACTAGTCAGTCCCTGTACGGTTTCCAAGGCTGTAATCTTTATGGAAGCAAGCGGCTTTATCTTTTTCCCACAAGCAGTTATGGGTTTGACTGTTGTACTGCCAGGGTTTCTTACAAAGGGCCTGGTATCTGTAAATCCTGTGGGAGAAAATGGCCCATTTTTCTCTGCCTCCTCCACAAACCCACCCCCAGTCACTGTGAGAATCCAACAGTCAGGGCGGCTTGGTCTTTAGATTAACAGCATAATTTCAGAGTTTAGTTAGCACGGCTGAGAGACAAACCTTTGTTTCCAACATTCTCATGAAGTGTTTTTTTATCCACTGGCTATAGCTCACTGATCCTCACCATTTTTCCACTTGCTATATCTCACTGGTTACTTATCACATTCTTTTAGAATAGATAAAAGGATTCCTTACCCAAAAGGAATTTCTCCAAGGACAAATGAGAGTCCTCATTTCAGAGCCACTCTTTAAATTCAGTCATTGATTTTGACAGAATTTATATCTAAAGTTATCACATCTTGTAACTAACCCCCTCTTAGAACACTAGAAATAGATTAATCTAAATAAACATCTCTCCTTAATAGAATACCTTGAATGCAATACTTCTTACACATTCCATGGTTTCTTTCTCACTTTCACAGACCTTAATCCATAATTCAGAATAAACTCCATCAATTGGAGACTAGAGTCACCCATTACTGTTTAGATATAGCAGTACTGTTCCTTAATATGACCATTCCAAATATTTTTTTTTCCAATAATGGGGAGTTGGTTTTTTTTCCATTACAACTGTAATAATAGCTCTGAATTCAGGACCTAGTTACTGTTCTAAAAGAGTGAATGGGACTCCCATATTCCCCTATTTTTATCTAATAAATGGGCCTAGCATGTGCTGCTGTTATCACAACCATAGTAAGCTGGTTTACAGATGTTTCCCACTGAATGTGACAATAAAGAGTACTACATGCTAAAAATAATAATCTTGATTGTAACTATTGAAGCTCAATATCAAGGAAACAAAGATTCTCAACACTGAGAGTCTTTTTTTTTTTTGGCCAATCACATGATTGGTAGCATCATGATAGACAGTGAAGAGATTGAGATTGTTAACAGCTTTAGTTTGCTTGGCTCCACTAACAACACTCTTGGTACCAGCAGCCAGGAAATCAAAAGATGAACTGCATTGGGAAAAATCTGCTGTCAGGGACCTCTCCAGAGTACTGAAGACCAATGACATAAGTTTGGAGACTAAGGTGCAGCTGATCCAGGTCATGGTCTTCACAATTACTTGCTATGCATCAGAATGCTGGAAAATTATTAGGGATGATAGAAGGAGAACTGATGCCTTTGAGCTGTGGTACTGGAGAAGAGTACTGAGTATACCATAGACTGCTAGGAGAACAAACAGGTTTGCCCTGGAGAGGCTTAAACCAGGCTGCTCTTTGGAGGCAGGGATTCTGACGCTCCATCTGACAGACTTTGGGCACGTTGCAAGAAGGGACCGTCCTTCAAGAGGGACATCATGCTTGGGAGGGTGGAGGCACAACACAAGAGAGAAAGACCCTTAAGAAGATGGATTGCAAAATAACTATGAGATATCATCGCACCCCAGTCAGAACAGCAAAATTTAACAGAACAGCAAGCAACAAATGCTGGCAATGTTGTGGAGAAACTGGAACCCTTATTCACTGTTGGTGGAAGTGTAAAATGGTGCAACCACTGTGGAAGGCGGTATGGCACTTTCTCAAAAAGTTGCAAATAGAGATACCATTTGACCCAGCAATTCCACTACTGGGAA